TTTTTTTTTTTTTTTTTTTTTTTTTGGCTGGGAAGGTATGTTTTTTTTTATAGGAGGGTGGGGGACATCGAAGGGTAACTCCCTATAATTTTTTCAATTTTTTTTTTCACTAATAATATTTTTTTAATTAAAAACGAAAAAAAAAAACAACCGGCCAAAATAAGCATTTTTGTTTGCTATTTCGTAGGTCATTTCGATTTGTTTTTATTTTTTCAATGTCACCACGATGTGGGGCTTGAGGCGAATGTACCTGGGGGAGCCCAAAAAAAAGAACACCACTCTTTAGTGGTCGTCCTGTTCACCGTGAACGGCCGTTCAAAAAAAAATCACCAAATGAACGGCCGGTCACGTTTAAGTGACCGGTGTCGATCACTTTCACGAGATCGGCACTGCAACCATCCAAATCCCACTGTCGTCTGTTTTCCGCTTTTCTAACCTACCCTCGACCCATCGATAATCCCGGGCCCGTTCGTTGGCCCTCCTCCGGTCCTCCTTGGTGAAGTCCTGAAGGGGGTTAGCTACCAGGGTGGCTATTAAAGCGATATCCGTCCAGACTTCTGCCCTTCTAAACTTTCGGGTCTTTTCCAACCCTTCTGACGTGGCGTCGAGGAATCATGCCTCCGTTGGGATCTTGTCGGTTCGGCACAAAGGGCATAACCAGGGTCTCTCGCTGCTTCGGTACTAGATGCAAGAGTCATGGGTTCGTATGACACACCTCCGACAATCTACCCAATCGACGTAGCCTTCCCCGTTAGGACACATGGAGACAGAATATACGCGAGAAATCGCTTCGCAAAAATAACAAAACTTATCAGGCAGGAAGAGAAGAGATGAGGAGGAGAGGGGAGAAAGAGGGGTTACGGGATTACCTCTGTCACCCATTGCCACCGGTCTGGTTCTTGCCACGTGGGAGAACTGCCACTTGTCCGTACTTAGGCCCGTTCGTCGGCTCTGACTCTTTCCACGGAGTGATTTCCTTGCCTTTAGGTACTTTAGCGGGTCGATGCAGACGTGTCAGTCCGTCCGCGTTGCCGTGTCTTTCTGTCTTCCTATGAATGATGTCGAAGTCGTACTCCTGCAGACGTACCACTCATCGACCAATCATGTTGGTGTAATTAGTGAGCTTCTTCAAAGCCAGCAGGGGCTCATGATCCGTCAGAGGCGAAACTTCTGTCCGTAGAGATACGGATGGAAGTGCTGGATTCCCCAGACTACTGCATAGCGTTCGCCTTGTGGTATTGAGTCATTCCTTCGTTCGTCTAGCACCGTTCGTGACGCGTACTCGATGACGTTTTCGCGACCATCATTCCCCTTCTGTGCTAGAATGGCGGAGATCGCTTCCGGTTGCCAGTCCGTTATAAGAATGAATTGTTTGGTAGGGTCCAGCCGGATCAAAATTGGTGCGGTGGTGAGGCCTCCTTGCGTGTGTCAAAGGCTTGCTCGCACTCAGAGTCCCACTGCAGAGGTTGGTCCTTCCGAAGCAGGTTCGTGAGGGGCCGAGCAATCGCCGCAAAACCTTTGATAAAATGGCGGTAGTACGATGTCAGGCCTAAGAAGGCTCGAACCTGCGTCAGCGGCGTGGGAACTGGGGCTTCTTTACGGCTGCAACTTTCCTTGAATCCGGTCGCAGCCCTCCATGTGTCACTACGTACCCCAATAATGAAATTTCCGAGAGGAAAAATTCGCTCTTCTCAAGTGCAATCTTGAATTCAACATCCCTTAGTGCTCCCAACGTCCATTCGATGTGCTGCGCATGTCCATGATAGGTCTCCGAGTAGACAAGGATATCATCCATGCACACGATCACGCAAAAGTTGATCATTCCCTGAGTCAGCTGTGTCTTGTTGACGTTCTAGAACGTTACGTTCATTGCTCGTTGAAACGTGGCAGGCGCGTTGCAAATTCCCATCGGACATCGAACCCACTGCCACATGCCTTCGAACAACACGAAGGCCGTTTTCGGCCGATCTTCCTCCTTAACCAGAATGTGATGGAAGCCATGCCGAATATCAAACTTGCTAAAATAATTAGCACATTCAATCGCATCCAGCAAATCATCAATCCGGGGGAGGGGATACACATCTTTAATCGTGATGTCATTCAGTTTGCGATAATCGATGCATATGCGGATCGATCCGTTCTTCTTCGGTAGCAATACCATGGGAAAAGACCACGGTCCTGTAGCCGGTTCAATCCATCCATTAGCTTCAAATTCCCTAATTCGTTGCAAGGTTGTCCTTCGTTCAGTTAGGGAGTATCTATAGGGTTTGCAATGGACCGGGGGATGGCTTCCTGTCTGGATCTCGTGTTGTATGACCAACGACAAGCCGATGTCAGTGTCCATTACACTAATCGCTCCCTGATATTCCGTCAGAATGTCCGTAATGAAACGATGAATCTCATCAGGTATGTACTGCGGAACGTGCAATTCATAAGGCTGACTCCAGATCCGTACGTTGATCTGCTTCGTGCGTGCTTGTTTCGCTGCCTCGGGTGGTGGCGCAGAGATAAGCGAATGGTCTGATCGCCAGGAGAACACCGTGACCATCATCTGGGCGTCTTTCTCCCGGATGGCCACATGTCCTTCCGGGGTGATTCCATCGCAGATATCTTGCCATGGTACGGGTTTAGTTGCGATCTTAATTCCGAGCCCGTCTGATTCTGCCTCGAAATGCCTAGGGGGTTTCAAAGAACAGGCCTCCGCCCCTAGGCGTAACAATCGTACTTCTTTTGCGGGTGGCAGCAAAGATCGTTGTAGGCCCGTGATGTTGCAAAAAGATCTCTTGTCATTGTATCGTGCGAGAAGAGGGGTCATTCCCTTGTACAGGGTCTGAGGGGGTTTCAGAGAATCGACCATCCTTGAGATCTGAAGATGGGGTTCACCCAAAATCATTGTCAAGGTCCTTTGTACACTCCGACTAGTTAGATGCATCGTTCTTGCGATCGTTCTGGGCGGCGTTGTAATAAATGCGTTGTCGTGCTAGTTCCAGGATTACCGGATCATTTTCGTCACTGCTATCCGCATCCTTCGATGATGGCTCATCGTCTGCGGAGTTTTCCCAGGTGATCATGCGAAGGGTTCCCACTATCATCGGAGAAACTCGCGGGACCACGTTGGTGGTAGTACGAAGAGCTAGTCTCATGGGTACATCATAGGGTTTTCCTCCCGTATTTCGGAGGATAATCGACAGTCGCTCGAAGTCCAGATTTGCTCGTAACGCCACAAGAGCGGGAAGGCTGAAAAGGACATCGTAGGTGTTTACGTTTAATACCACGACATCTCCCAACGCATGCACCTTTCCTAATCGAAAAATGACGTTGGTCATTCGTCCCACTGTTTTGATATTTCTTCGTCTGCCGAAACGAGCTGATCTTTTTCCGTAAGCATGATTAGATTGTTTCTCCTACCCGCCCTCTCAACTACCCGTAGCGAAATAGCCAAAACAGCAGCTCTCGAATCGATGATTGCATTGTACGGAATTCCCCATATCTCAATGTCGCATTCCGCAGATTTCCAAGGGATGGGTTTAATCTGTAGGAAATGATCGTCTTTCTGGATTAATCCTACCCGTATCGGATCCGAAGTGCCAGCAGCATTTTCTTCTGGCGTGGGGTTTTTAACTTTCGCGTTCGTTCTTCGGGCGAAGGCGAATCGCTTTCGATTCGCCTTGCAGTGTTGTAGCATTCGCTCATTGGCTTGTTCAGAGATCGAGAGCAAATGACCGATCGAAAGTGGAATCCGATGGTCCAAGGCTCGGATGATGTCCAGCACATCGATTTCTCCATTGACAAAGGTGGGTCCTCCCGACTCCATCTCTCCTGGAGAAGGTCACCACTCTGCCACTTCTTTCTGTTTCGGTGCAGGTCTGACCGTTCCAATCATTCCAAGCCCCCGATAACCAAGCGATACATACTGGTCTAACGGAATGAGCTCGGCGGCGTCTTCCGTGGTGGCTATCACAGTCCCTCCTTCCATTTCCTACAGGGCTCCTACCCGTCTAGGTCTGTTAGCGACCGGAGCTGCCGCTGCTGGTGCCACCACGACCCGTGGTTGTGGGGGTCGATGGGGGCAATCTCGGGCTAGATGCCCTAGTTGATGGCATGCATAACAAACGTTTAGATTGTCCGCGGCCCCTCCGAGAACAGGTGTCGGGGTCAGTCCATGTTGGATTGGAGTGGCACGTACTGCGATGGGCCGCATGTTCCTCATCATGGTCTCTAGTCGGGCATTATGCTCTCGCTGTTCCTTTCTACTCTCCTGGATTAGGCTAATTAGTGTTTTGGTCAGTTCTAAAATGGCGGTTGATTCGTTTGATCGTGCAGGGTTCTCAATCGGTGGCGGGGTGTCATCATTACAGGTGCTGGCATCACAGGAACGGGGACGCTCGTGATCACACTCGGGGCCGGTCGTTGAGGGGCTATCTGTTCCAGGTAGGTAACAGGGCCTGACACAAACCCCATGTTTTCAAACTTATTTTGCAATGCTGCCAGCTTAGCTTTTGCCCTCGCAAGTTCGGACGAGTCTCCCTCCTTAGGATAGTCTTCTCCTTCTAGGAAACTCGCCGCAAACTTCCGTTCCATCTCCTCTGCAGCTGCCATAATCTGTTGGAGCGTGTGCTTGATGGGGGAGAACTGTTTTCGCAGTTTCGCCCTTATCGTTCGGTTGCAAAGTCCATCGATAAATAAGTCCCTACCTACCTGCTCGCCTCGCTTAGTTTTTACAAACATTCGGTATTCGGTAACAGACTCGAGCGACTTTTGAACTCGGTCTTTGATCATAAAGAGAGCCTGCTCTGGATGGATGCAATCAGACCGATCTAAGAAGTCTCGTTCGAATGTCGGGAGATCGACCCATACATAGGTGCTGAACCAATGATGAGCATCTCCTCCTAATCGGGTAGGAATATTCACATGAGCTTCGTTATCGTCATACTGCTGAGCACGGAGCGTGGCTAGCCATGCTCCAGCAAGATGATGCGCCGAATCAAGTAAATAGAGATCGGGTGGTGTCATGGGAGCCCGTGCTCGTGGTGGGGGTTGATTAGGATTTTGTTGTTGATTAGCATTCTGCTGCGGATTCGGATTCTTAGGATTAGCGTTCATGTTGGCGGCCCGTCGATTAGCCGATCTACTTTGGGTGATGACGGGGTCGTGTCTATGCGCGTTCCGGGGTCGAGGTCGCCCTCGGTTAGCCAGATCGCTCAATTGTCGCGTCGTTAGTCCTTACAACCCAGCCACGTGTCGGGCTCCGATACCAACCTCACGCCCAGCGCGACTTCCTGCTCGGAGTAGGATGTGGGCCTGGAAGTGCGAAAAGGGGTGTGCCAATGATTTTTGGGAAAGTGGGGGTGGAGTCCCAGGTCAGACCTAGGATCTCCTGTGGCAGAGTTTTTCGGGGGCACGAGTGCAATTTGGTTTGAGAGGACGGACAACTTCTGATCATAAGGCAGATGGCATGCGTGGGTTATTCAAGGTCGTCCGCTTCGTCTGTTTTGGGGGCGTCGGTTCAGGGCCAGGTCTGCCCGGAAGGAAGGGCTGTGATCCCGATGATTCGGGCCTTTGGGGGCAGCCACTTGGTGGCTGTCGTCGTGTATTCGGGTTAGGTCCTCTGGTTCCCGGGGCTCTCTGATTGCCACGTCACCGACAATTTCCGCAGGGCGTGCTGGGCCAATATGTGGCTTTGGCGTTCCACGGGACGACCTTGAGTTGATGATACGGGAGAAGAAGACGAAAGGGAGGGAAGTAAGTGGAGATAACGACAAATCCGGGGGAAATAAAGTAGTGCGTGTGGTCAGAAGTGGGAAAATTCGGGCACCACGGATCGCTGGTTGTGGCACAATGGAACTCCCTAGGACACAGTCGGTTCTCGGTTAAACATGGGAACCTCTGTCGGAGACACTCTTCTATCCAAGGGGTGAAGTACTCCGGATCCCACAACGAGTCGGAGTCTTTCGAGCGGGTCATCTTGGCATGGTGGAGCCGCGAAACTCCTTAGCATGTGGTTGCTTGGCTGAGGAATTTCCGAGTCCGGCGTTCAGGAATTCTGTGCTGGTCCCGATATTCGACGATTCCGATCACCACGTGTGAGTACGTATAAACTGCGCGAATTGGATCGCACTTACACGTGTTCACACAGGACGCTCGCTTCGTTGGGGCCGCACAATGGCCACGAAACACATCCAATCAATCAATATCCCCGCAATCGTTAGCCCTTTTTATGTGTGGGTGGTTACGAATCGACGCGCGTGGACACGTGTAAGTGCGTAGATCAGATCGCGCTTACACGCATCTCCGCGAGGTGTTCGCTGGTTTCTGGGCCAACAACTACCCGATCATCTAATCATCCCATGACTCGCACGCAATCCTCCCTGAATATCCAAGGTGTTACTACGCATTCATAGTACAACAATAAATCAAAAAGGGCAGATAGCAACAGCGAAGCATTCGCGAATTCTCCTACTATGCTCATGAGGGTATCAAGACAACAAGCAAGGCAAAGATCAAGCATAAGGAAAAACAAACAGATATAACATTCATTCATCCATTCATTCAGCATAACACACCATATTCGAGATTGAAATCACAAAATCGAGTATGGGCCGAAACCAATTCAAGATTCTGAAAACAAAAACGGGCGGATCACCCTGGGCCAAGATCAAAACTTATATACGAAAACAAAGAGGGAGAAAAGACAAAAGAAACAGAAAATCCTCGTCCATCAACCTCAGCTCCCTCTTCCTCTCTCTCTCTCTCTCTCCGATGCGGACAGTCTGTCGTCGCGCACCAACCCACGAAGTCGTCACCCAGCTTCGTCCTCCCGCACCCGTCAGGTTCGCCCGCGCCCACAGTCCGTCGTGGCTCGGGTCAACCCCGCGCGTTTGGCACCAGCTCGTCGGGTCGCCCGACTCCCACTTCAGCTCACCTCTTACTTCGCTCTTGAGCGGACCCTCACTGATCGCGCTACCCCGAGCTCCCAACAGCTGGTTAAGAGAGCTAACTAATCGCGCAGCCGGAATTTATAGTGTGCATGCATGCGCGAAGAACACGGAATTACAAGCACTTGGGAGGAGAGAACGGGGAGGGATTGCCTACGTCTGCATGGCTAGATCGCGACGTGGGGGACGTAGCCACTCTCCCCGCATTGATCCGGTCATGCAGACCGCGGCTACCAAGACGTAGCAAAAAGAAAGAGAAGAAGGGCGGGAAGGACGAAGTTCAAGAAGAAAAATACAGTTACAATGGCGCCCGTCCAAATTACAGTTACACACAAGATTAAGGGCGCCGGCTAAGCAGAACTCCGGTACAGCCGCAAAAAGAAGCGTGCAAGCGAAAAACAGCGCGCACAAAAAGAAATTGCAATTTTTTAAATTCCTAAGTTCCTATCTAATGCAAAAAGACATAAAACGCAAATTCCGAAAAGAAAATCCAAAGTCCCAAGAGCCGTAGAGGCTTGACAAAATCCAAAAGAAAATTCGAAAACGAAATTCAAAAGAAAATTTCAAAAGAACGAAGCAAAATTCCCGCTCGATGTCCGCGCCCAAAAATCCGTAATCGCGCTCATGGCGGCGCGCCCCATACACAGCCAATCAACTAATCGATCGCCACGGGGCTCACCCGGGACCGAGCCCAACCGTCCGAAAAGACGATGAAAAAAGACGAAGAAGCGAGGACACCAATGCAATTTCCCATCCATCCCAATCTCCCATAATTGGCCCATCCTTCCCAACTTAGGACCCCTCGTCGCTACCGCGCAGAAAATCGTGCGGTGCGGAAATCGGTTCGTCACAATCTATGGACACAAAATTCTTCGAGCTATCCAGAGCGAGAGCTAAACGCACCGTTGTCGAGAACATTGGTGCCGTGCAGGGCGAGACCCTCCCGGCCACGTCACGCAGGAGTTGAACTACTCGAGATACACAAGGAGTTTCCGCAAGCCGCTCCGGCCGAGTGAGGCGACCATACCTTTGGCGGCCCCCTACGACAGGGTAGGGCCTACGCGAGGTACAACTTACCTCCACCTAGGGGAGTTGTCACCTCCCTTCGGTGGGCGTATCACCGCCGAGCTACCAGTCCTACAGTACGAAAGTTAATCAGTTGCAATTGCAAAGGTGGACTTGGGGGGCTGAATTCTCAAGCTCGACTCGTCGTCGGTCGACTAGGACGTATCTCACTCACCACGCGTCACACCATACCTAAAACATAAAAATAAAACACACACGCACACACACACGAAACAACACAAAACAAAACAGCACAACAAACACTCCTAGTCCCTTTTGTAGTCATCTGATAACCTTCCGACGCAGAAATCGAATAGGCGTTGTGTGCGAGACTTAGTATAAAGTCGCGCGAACGCAGGACCTTCTCATATGGACATGCAATGCATGCTTACGCAAGAGGTCGCAACGATGGAGTACTACGTAGTACCCATAATCACGTGGTTCTTGATAATCTCA